AAGGAAGGATAAGATATTAAGGTCAGATCAATCCAAATGTCAGGAATATATGGGGTGTATAGTTCAGATAAAATAAGGAGGGTGCAAATGCTCAGACTGGATCAGCATTAACAGGTCTCAATGTCCTTCTTACTAGGTATCAGAGACGGTTCTGCGTCCCAAAATTCCTAGCAGCTCTATGTATCGAAGTGACCAGACTTTGGGAGGCCGTTGTGAGGAGAAGCAATCAACTGATTCAGGGGCCTACTCAATTGGGCTCTAATAAATAGGAACTTTGAAGCAGACACAAATAAATTTTCTGCGCTAGTCACCTGCATGGACACCGCCTTGCGATATAGACTTCACTTTGAGTCTTCTTTTCAAAACCTGGTTCAGGAAATGGCTTACATTTTTTTACCCTTTATTGCTTTTTATTTTTCCTACTTTGTCTTTTTCCTTATCTTAAACAAATTCCTGTCAAGTTTTATAAAGCTGAAAGAACCCATTGCTTCTTCAGACTTCTGGAAAGCAGTGAGAAATACCAAAACCATTTTACTAAAATGAGAATACTCTAAAATCTGAACAAAATATTAATACTCTATGTATTAATTGAAGAAATAATAATCCAGGAAAGTTTTAAAGCAGCAGCTAATAAACTAAAACAAATTGTATGTGAAGTGTGTAACTTACACTCCTAAGAAGAATCAATTGGGATGAATTGCTGCCATTTGTAATCACAGACAGATAAATACACACACACACACACACACACACACACACACATACACATTAGGGGGCAAATGGTCATTTTCAGTTATACCAGATGACACACTGCCCTGTAGGGGAGGAAAACAAGCCATATGAGGAAGAAGAGCTTTGAATTTTCCATTGCATTGCAAACTGGCAGGCTCTAGGGAAAAATGGCTAATGTTTTTTGTAAATATTCAGTCATTTGCCTTTGTTCCCAGGCTCTGGTGTCTCCCTAATTCCATACAGGCTTTTCTGTTTGATTTACAAAGATAAAAGCAGAACAAAGCAGAGTCCTGCATCTAAATCTCAGATATCCAAAAGGAATATAGAAAGCTTTCTAACTTGTTCAATCATATTGCATACTGACTTAGCAGTAGCTTTCCAATGTTTTCAGACATGGATCTTTTCCTGGAAAACAAAACAACTACCATTGAATTTGATACTCTTGCTTGCAAACATGGAGAAACTAGTTCTTCTACAGAATACTAGTATAGATTCCTGCAACCCTCAGTATTGCTTCTGGTCTAGCTTTTCTAGCTTTCTCCCTAAAGGTTTCTTTTGTTCTTTGGTCTCCCAAATAACCCCAGACCCCCTCACTTTACAGAACTGGTGTGGATTCTCCCACTGGCCATGTCCACTGTGGATTTGGAAGTGTCCTTTCAGCAGACTGATCTATGACACCAAATGTTCATTTTCAGAGAAGCAGAAATACAGAGCAGTAGCAGTACACAGTGGATCCAATTATTTCCAGAACTAGACAAGGATGATTCAGATAGATTCAGATGATGTTTAAACTGAAGCAGAAGTCCTCCCAAAAAAGGATTCTCACAAAGCTTTGTTAGTGATTTGAAATTCAAAAAGATATATTCATGCTTCATCTGCAAAAATCAATCCAAATTCCAGAATGTGGAAGGGAGGGAAGAAAAAAAAGGATGCGATTTTTACGGCTGATGGAAAGTGCTTCTAATCAAAGCAAATAGTTTATTAGGGTTTTGTAGTCATGATGTTTTGTAGGAGAAGTGTCAAAATAATGTATCTCAAGGCTGTTCCAGACTCTGTGCTCTTCACTAGCCTCTTTCAAAAACAGAAAAAAAGGTAAACTAAAGCTTTTTAGTTTGGATTTTGTGGAAATTGGCCAGAAAATACTGGAATTTATTGCCTGTTTATGCTCCTGTTTGTATCACATGTATCATTTACTTGGCTTTTATTGCATTTTTTAAAATTTCTATTGCTTTGAAGCATCATTTGTTAATTTCATTATGAGTTAATGGGTGATGTATAGGGCTGATCCACACGATCAGTTTGCCCCAGCATCTAATAATAATCCCAATATTCTCCTGGGGTCAGGAAAGGCAGGCTGTTGTCTTCTTTTTTATCAAGTTTATTTGCTGCCCATCTTACAGTTCAGGCAACTCTGAGTGCCCCAACCAATCAAGAAGACAACCTCCAGCCATCTTTTTCTGCTATGCATCAAATTTAACATTTTTAAAAAATTTGGGGGTAGTTCAAGGAGAGCTCTCTGGTTCACTTGCTGTCTTTTATTTCATGGTATGAAAGACTTGCATTCTAATTAGTTTCTGTGGACTGTGGCAAGAATCCTTTCCATCCCCATCCAGGTCATCAGTTGCTGTCCTACAAGCCATTTTGTCCTGCCTTTAGGAGGGTTCTGGTCTGCTGAACTCTGTGTGTGTGTATAAACTGATTTTTAACAGAGTTCAGATGAAAGTTCTATCCACATGTTCTAATCACATATGTGCAAAAGCCCATCATAGAAATTTCTCAGTTTAGTTGGGAAGGGTAAAGAATCAACTAGTTGTGGGGCATAGTAAGCATGGTCTGGAGAAGCCACTAAATTATTGCTATGGTCAAACAAACATAGTAAATTTGTTTGAAAATCTGGAAAAGGAGTGCTTAGCTGGGATATTATTCAGAGGTTTTGCAAATTCTGTTGTTAACTCTGTTGTTAAAAGCACGTACTTTTCTGTATACCATACATGGTGGTACACACATCTAGGCTGTATTAGAATACATGAATCTGCTCTCAGTTTCCATATTAAAATTATATTAGGCAGAAAACATATTAATTCAGAGAACTAATTAATACCATATTGTGTAGCATAGACATAAACAGGCACACCCACTGTGTTAGCTAAACTGTCTTTAAATTAAAACCAAAATGCCCAAACTAACAAAATCATATTTCATCATAGTTCCAAATTAATTCTATAGAAACAATTAGGTATACTTTGAACAGCCTGTATGGCTGAAGCTGTTACTTCATTAGTTTCTAGTCTGAAAAATAGAAATCTTGTAATAACAGTTTATAGTACTGTATATATTATCAATTCCACAGAAGATAATAGTTAAGACAACATAATGACAGCTTCAGTTTAAATAAATTGTGAATGTGCAATAGGGAATGGTTTTTCCCCTGAAGCATCCAGCATTTGAAAGCCTTATAAACATGATTAACTAAAAAAAGAAACCCACAGGCTTGGGGTCACGTAGAGGTCACTTAAATAAGGGGAAGATATAAAATATTAACATCAAAAGCAGTATACACTCTGATCTAGAATCTTTCACTTTCTTTTTTTCCTCTCTTCCCCTCCATGCCAAACCTGTTTTGAACTTCACCTCCTGATGTATGATCTGTCCAAACAGATGCCCAGCTTAGATTCAAAGTAGGTTAAGAATTACAATGCATACACTTTATTTTGGAAGAGATTGAAAGCAGCTCTACAATGAAGCCAATTCAAATTAATGTCCAATGCTTAAGAAAGTACTGTACACACAATGGGCATACAGGAAAAACTCCCAGACATCTCAATCTTACGTTTACTCAGAATGAAGTTGCACATCACAATTAAACATTTGGAAAGATACAGATCCATTGTATCTATGAATAAGCCTCATCTAAACATTTAGAAGATGTAACCAGCTGGTTGATATAGTGTACAATTAGTTTGATCTATCAGATTAAGGCAACATGTAGTTTCATTGGTTTTGGCTTAGCATATTACATATACCCAGCTGTTGTGATTTACAACTTAGTGCCAATTACAGCTTTTTCAGCAACTCTTGATTAAATAAACCTTGGCACTGTGTGATGGATAAACTCTGCTGAAGAGAAGAACTTAGTTATTTAGAGATATAAGGGGTAGATGAAGAGATGCTTCTGGAAAAGATGCAAGGGTCTTCTAAATCAGGGGTCGTCAACCTTTTGGACCTCAGGGACCACCAATCTCATAATTTTAAATCCCACGGACCACTAATATGAATTTTGACTGATGGTGGCTTGCTGACATTGGTGGGAAAGTCAGTCCCATATTCCAGAGCTGCAATAGTCACAAGACTGGCCCTTTGGTCATCCTGGAGCAGCTGGCAGGCGGGTGCACCTGTGACTATTGCAGCTCTGGAATATGGGACTGACTTTCCCACCAATGTCAGCAAGTTACCCTGGGGCGGATTTCCCTCCCCCGCCATTGGTCTTACCTTCCAGTTCCAGCTCACATGGCTCTACTCAAGGTAACGTTTGTGCTCAGCCGAAGAGGGGAGCTAGCAGGTGGGTGGGCCATGTGGGCGGCCCAGCCTTGTGTTCCCAAGCAACCTGGATTAATTGCTTGGGGGGGGGGTGCTTTAGAGGGGATATTTCTCTGCGGAACACCAAAATTTTCTCATGGACCACCAGTGGTCTCCGGCCCATCAGTTGTCAACCACTGTTCTAGATGAGGTTTTCATGATGCAATTACTCTGCCTCATTCACATAATTTTTACTCAGCACTAAGAATACAACTTCTTCTACTGCTCTGTGTTTTCCCCTTCTTCCAGTTTACTAGAAGTGGAAAAACTGGACTCACTGCATTCTGCCTTTGTTTGCTTGTATAAGAATCAGTCCATCTGGAAACAGTCTACTAGGTCAGCAGGGGATTTTTCTGAGTCAGATATGTCTCAGAGAAGGTCCTAACTCATTTTCTACTTCTGAGAGTTAAGACATGGAGAAAGAGTCAAAACAATTTTTCTCAGCTGCCATTCCTGTGAAAGAACTACAAGATATCCCAATGCAATGTTTTCACCACACTCCATTGCATCCATCTTCTTGTCTGGACTAGCTCAACTCTCTTTCTCGGCCATAAATAATTGTGGAAACATTTATAAGCCTTTACATCTTGGAATGGTTATCTCTCATCTCCTTCCAAAATGAAGGATGTGAGCAAAGCACCAAAGAAACAATGGCCACTGTTGTCCTAGGTATTGGTTTTCAGCTTTTAAAAAAAACAAACTGATAGAACTTTGGAGTCTGTCTTTGTCTACCAGAAGACAGAATTGTCTTAACCCTCTCAAAGGAATGAAAATGTAGAAGACAAGTATTGTAACAGAGCCTTGGTGTACTGTACTCCATTGGATTAGCACTTGGGTCCCAATGGAAAGTAACACCCACTTGTTTTTGCTTCTTGACTGCCCCAAAAGTAATTTGTAAATTGCTTTCAGGGATGTTCTAAGATATGGAGATGTGAGGTAGGGATTTTTATCTGAAAAGTGGAAGATACACTTTCCATACCTATTCTTTCCAATGCTGAAGCCACAAAATAAAATAATGGAGTTTTCAGTAGTCGACAGACTGTAAATTGTGCTAGGGGACAACTCCCACTCTGCATGAGTTTTCCAGCATGTGATAGGACTCATAGTCTAGGGCTAACTCATTTTGGGGGAAGGGCAGTTTTGTGATCCAGTAGCTGACTACCCCATGTTTTTTGCAAGGAGCTTGACTGTGAAGTATAATGCCCCATTGAGAATTCAATGTCTGGAGAGATGGAAAACAAAGTGAAGGTTGTGGGAACCTAAGCCCGAGCAATGAGATTTTAAACTTTTGCTGTTCTGTCATAGAATATATAGCACTCGCTGTCTTTTCTCTAATTTTTGATATTATTTTAATATTGGAACTTTGAGGTCCAATTATTTTTTTAAAAAAACATCCAGAACCTGTTTCCTGCCCTTATAGCTTTCGTTGACTGGCACTTGATTTTATGATAGATTCTTCTTCTTTTTTTAATAGCTGAATTTTTCCTCCTGCTGCTCCTGGGCTTTACTTTTTTGTTGTTGTTCTTCAGAGTTAACATACAGTTCAGTTTGTAGAAACAAGCATTATAATGTTTAAATAATTAAAAATGAGAGAGAAGTTTTCTCAATATATTTAAAAGTTTAAAGGAAGTTTTAAAAGTTTAAAATATCATATTAAAAAATACAGTTTCTGGTTATTAAACATTTTAAGTTTGAAAAAAAGATTGGCTTCTATACTAAAATTTTATACAATACACAAAAATAGATATCTGAAAAAAAATACATAACAATGAAAAATATTCTATATTCCCTCCACTCCAAATTATGAATCTGGTTTTAATTTCTATAAAATGCTACACAGTGTGAGAGAAAGAGATTGTGTATTTAAACCTCATTTTGAAACATGGAATTAGTAACCTAGCCCACATTTAGACACAGTTAAACCCTTTTAATCTGAGGGATTTAAGAGCACCTGATCATGTGGGACTGTGGCCTATTTTGTTGCTGTGAAATTTAGAGACGGTGTTTAATCCCACACAGGCCTTTGTAAGGGTCCCTTTTGTTAGGTGGTGTTCCCAAAGCCTAAACTGGGATGGACTCAGATGGAAGGCTCCAGGACTGGCTTTCTTGCAGCCTGCTTCTTCTGTCGTCGCTTACATTCCCGCCACACCATGAAAGGATTGACCAAAGCCAGAAGCATTAACACTACGAAGGCAATGTCAACCTGGAAGGAAAGATAGAAAAAGAATAAAAACACCCAATCCTCAAACGAAATTACTCGAAGGGGATTTGGGTCACTTCCCCCAAACTAGTAAACGCTGCCTTTCAGGCAACATATCCTGGATCCTAACACCCCACTGCCGGGGGTATGGCTGACATCATGACAGGAAAATGGGCTGAGTGGGATACAGAATACTTACATAAAAGGAATCCCCTTTTAGTGGACCCTTGATGAGTGTAAAACAGGGATACTGTAGGAGGGACACCACAGCTGACAGTCCCATCACCAGACCATAGAGTTTCCCAAAATGTTCAAGGGGAAAACTGTAAAATAAAATGGGAGCAGGAGGGGAATCATCTCGGCATTTTAAAGTGACTTTTCCTCATTGTTGCCTTTATAGCAACTTGCCACTTTGCCCCCCCCTTCTTGATCTTTCTGCATCCCTAGTAGGATGAAGTGGGGGTGGGGGGGTGGAGCAGGAGTGGGATTCTACCAGTTCGCACCTATTTGCTAGAACCAGTTGTTAACATTCTAAGCAGTTCGGAGAACCGGTTATTAGAAGAAATTACTGGCCTAATCCTGTAAGGAAGGCAGGAAGGAAACATTCTGGTGTTGCTTACAGAAACTGGCTCTCCATTAACCCTTATTACATTCTTGGTAGGACTAGACTTCCTGTCTCAGGAACTTCTCTGGAGTTTTTTTCCCCTCCTTTGCTGGTACTTTGCTTGTGTGGAGTGACCATTCAAAGTTACAATGGCACTGAAAAAAGTGACTTATGACCGTTTTTCGCGCTTACGACTATTGCAGCGTCCCCACAGTCATGAGAGGCCAGGCAAGGAGATGTGTGCCTCGATGTGAGTGATATCAAGTTGGCCACGCCCAGCCAATAACATGACCACCAAGCCACGTCCACCCAGTCACATGACCACCAAACCACACCCACCAACTAAGCCACATCTACAGAACCGGTTGTTAAAAAATTTGAATCCCACCCCTGGTGTGGAGCCCTTGTTTGCACCTACATCAGTGTTTCATGGCGCTCTCACACAAAAGAATGATAAAAAGGAAGGACGTTTTGGAATTCATCATACACTATTAAAATATATATCAACGGATTTAATTAATGGATATCTCTGGGGAAAAGCCCAGGCTTTGAGATGACAGGATCAAGAAATGTACTTTCTTCCTTTCTGATTCAACTCTCATTGTAAAATACAAATAACAAGAAATAATCTAGCTTCATGCCTGTTTTCACATAGGTTAGTACTTCTATCATGTCTCCACTTATTATTATATTATTGTCTATGTTATTAGGCATTTGAAAAAACAGAATGCCCAAGAAAGTGTCCAATAAAGATCGGAGGGGTATTTTAGCACAATTCTGAAAATCTAAAAAAAAAAAAAAAAAAAGAATGTTATTGTTGTGTTATGAACTCCAGAACTTTTTTCTAAAGCAGGAATTGGGGAGGAGAATTGGGTACACCAATTACAATGCACACTGGTAGAAATCATAACTCCCCTTTAGCAGTTTATGCTAGTAGCTGAAAACCTGCAAAACTGGAAAAAGCATATATGGCACTTCCAATAGAAGAGAACTGACTGACATTTTTCCTCATCAGAATCATAAACCTCTGTGATCATTCTGTGCCGTGCTTAACCGTACGCTTCCCTTCCTTTCCCCACTCCTTCCAAGTCTTCCTTCCCAATTTCTCTTACGCAATAGCCAAGAAGGCAGCATTGCCTCCATAGAGGAAGGAGCGGCTCAGAACTTGCAGGATAAATGTGGCATACTGCACAGGCAGCACGGGAATGGAAGCACAGATGGAGAAGGCCAGGCACTGTAATACTGTAATGACCAGGGACAGGATACAAGAACGGAGGTCAGCAAGAGGATCTGGTGCCCCTGAAACGAAGAGAGTGAATTCAGTTAGGGAGAACTCAAAGCACCAAAGTTTTGGCAGGGCAAACTAATCTGGAAGGTAAATTCCCACAATTCAAAGGGCCTACCTGAATAACTTTCTCCCTTCTTTTGCCTGTGTTTGTGCCAGTCAAGAATAAGCCCATTCCAAGGGGCACAGAGGACTCCACAGAGCTGTGTGATGGCAAATGCATTGGTGAAGCTACTCACTGTGGATAGAAAAAAGGAAGACCAAAGATAACTGCAGTGTTATTCCAAAGGCAATTTCCCCAATGCAATGGGTTTTTCCTTTCTATAATTCATGGTAGTTGTGTCTAGATGAGGTTAGAATGTGTTCAGGTTTTGACTCTTCGGTCATTCAGTTCTCAGAACTGAGAAAACTCTCCCTTTGGGTATAGAACAAAGCTTCTAACAAGACTAATATGAAAGGAGGCTGGTAGTTCCCTCAGCTTGCTGGCCAGGCCTATCTAGCAATCAACAGCCGAGTTCTGCCATTATTCATATCTGAGTTTTAAAATGACACAATTTAAATCTTATTTCAGCAGCTTATCGGTGCTGAAGACAAGGAAAAGCTTTCAGGGCAGGCCTCAGGCTATGTTTGATTACATCCTGACCCCATCATTTCAGGAGAGAAGAACATCGTGGAGGAGAAATCACCTGCCTTTTGTGCCAGGAAGGGAGGAAAGGGGGCAACATAAATAAAATAGAACAATGGAACATATCATATATTCTAGGAGAAAATTTTCTTTCAGACTCCAGAAAGAACTGAGATGAGTCTCTCATGCTCTTTAAATTATTTTAAAAAGTAAAAACAAAACAAAAACACAATTTGACAAAAAAAAAAAATGCTGTAAGCTGATGGGATTCTGGCTCATCCTTCCTTTGTAAAGCAATGTCTTTTATCAGTTTTTCTCCTCGTATTTTCCACTTTGCTGCCCCAGTCAATACTTCTTTCAACTCTCCCTATTCACTTCCATAGCTTCTTTCTTATTGCTTGCTTCTCACTTACCTTAAATTCATTAGTATCTTTCCCTATTCCCTTCTCTTACCCAAGAACCACCTTCCCTCCCTACAATTTTTGGGTTCCCTCCGTACCAAGGCTGTCGTCCTCATTTGCGAGTTTTCTCAGCATGGGATTGAGGGTGCCAATGAAGAGGTAATGGCGCAACTGCATCACTGACAGCCATATCAAGTGCCAGAAAAATAACATGGAGAAAACACATTTCCAGAAGGATTTAACAGGCGGTTCCTTGGCATCTGATCCAATCTCAGCATCACCTTAAAAAAAGAAAAATGGGTAGACTGTGGAGTTTTGTCCAGTCTGATTTTTATATCACAAACTCAGAATGTCTTCAGACAAAAGACTACTTGCTACTGTTTCCCTGACTGCACTTCCAGGATTAAATGATAACTCACACACATATGTGGATTTTAAGTTTTATTAATGCCAGGGAGAAAAAGGTTTGGTTAAACAGAGATGAGATAATTATTTTTGTTGACTTCAAACCAGACCCACCTAAAAAGTATGTGAAATAGTTTCTAGGGTACAGAGGACATCAAAAGTCAATCAATCAATCAATCAGAAAAGAGCTGGAGGGCACCTTGGAGGTCTTCTAGTCCAGGGTTCTCCAACCTTGGCAACTTTAAGCCTGGAGGACTTCAACTCCCAGAATTCCCCAGCCAGCAAAGCCCTCCAGGCTTAAAGTTGCCAAGGTTGGAGACCCCTGTTCTAGTCCAAACCCCTGCTCAAACAGAAGACCTTATACCATTTCAGACAGGTGGCTGTCCAGTCTCTTCTTAAAAGTCTCCAGAGATGAAGCACCTACAAAGTTTGAAGGCACGTTATTCCACTGGTTAATTGTTTTCACTGTTAGGAAGTTTCTCCTTAATTGCAGGTTGAACTAATTATGCCTTTGATAATGGTTCCTGGAATGTATGAAGTCACTTTTCTATCAGCCTCTGATCAATTGACTGACAGGGTACAAAGCTGCTGTTTCTTACTAGCAATTTGCAGCAGGGTCACTGGGAGGAAAAAGGAAACAGTATTTCGTAGTAACATGACATTAAATGTGATTAATATCTTGCTGGAACTTCCAGTAGTAGATCCCATATCCTGGGGAAACCATAAAAAGTGAAAAATTATGACATCTGAGCTCATTCTTCCTATCTGCTCTCCCATAAAAAATAGTTGACTGCAATAGCCTAGAAGCACATGGTGACTTGGGAGCTGATCATGTTCCACAATGCCTAACAGCTAAAAAAATGGGTAATTCAAACCTGACTTTGCGTATGGAACTCTAAAGAGAGAGAATGAGGCAAAAGAAGGAGAACAAAAGAAACTGGCTATAGAGAAGCATCTCTCAATCCTGGGTGAATTGTGTAAATCCAGTGAAAGCTGCCCCTGAAATATACATGGAGGCAGACTCATATTTTACCATTACTTTGCAGAGAACCTAAAAATTACATAGAAGAATGGCCCAAGCATTCCAAATAATGTAATCCTAGCTAATATGAGATCCACAGGGGAATCCAAGGTCTCTTTCAATTCTGTTATTCTATTAGTCTAAACCAGCCTCATCCTCTACCTTTGTCCTTGATGGTAGCTTGTTCTCCTTTGAGTGCTGACTCATCATGTAGATTATTTGAATCTTGGGCTTCACCTGCAACTGTGATCTTGGGGGAGCCTTGTTCCTCATAAGTGCGGTATGAATGGGAAATCCCAGGACACTTCAATCTGCAGACACAGGAAATATGACACACATCTTGTTCTCCCCTTGGCCTTGTGAACTTATTTCTACATACATCTTGTGTACAGAACTTAACCAATGTTACATATGCACAGAAAGAAGGAAAAGGATTTACGAGAAAGCTTTTATTAATTCTTGAAGCCATTGAACCCTAGCATGAAAATGCAAAACTGAAATGAAATTAGTCAGAGTCAGTGAACATTCCACAACATTTATACACATTAAATGGGTAATCAAACATACAAAGAAAAAGGGAGGGGAAAGCCTCAGGGGCACTGAAATTTGTATTTTTCTGGTACAAACCAATTTCAGTGTCACATTTGACTTAACAATTGTTCTTTCTAGACCTTACATCTTACCACTTTCCTTTACTCTTTCTTTGCATTAGTATCTCTAAAATGCAAAAAAGAATTACCAGTCTGCTTGCTGATACTGACATCTACCTTTATTTGGAAGTAAATCCATTAAACTCACTGCCCCGATTCAGACATAATGCAACGGCATAATGTGATTTATTTGGTTTTGGCACAGAATGATGAGTTAACTCACTTATTGAGGCTCAGCATAATGCATGAACTACACCAGCAGAGCCAGTCTATATCTGGCACGCAGCTGGATCTAACTGCAACTCCTTTTTGAAGAAGCAAAGCTACTGAAGCAATCAGGAATAGAAACAAGGTGATTAAGACCAAGGATACCTTTGCAAATATTATTTGAAAATAGAGGAAGAAAGGCGCACTTGGAAGCACAGAAGAGACAAATAAGTGGAGAATTCAGCTTTTCATCTCTTGTTTTCCTCCTGATTTTCACTCACAAGAAATGGCTTCATCAATCCAAAGTGAACTTAGAGAATTATGAGATGTATTTCATGAAATATGAAACTAAGTGTTCATATCTGCAAGTAAACATTTAGAGGTCTGGCCTGCTAATAACACTCACCTAATCTGCAGGCATACTTAATTCATTTAAATGACATGAGTCATCCCAGTACTGGCTGCCTGCTCTATTGTTAAGTTCAGATTTTTCTGCAATGTATATAGCACTTGAAACATGACATAACAACTCAGGGACAAAAAAGCTTAGGATGAATAGGCAGACACAAGGAATGTTATGAATCTAAAATTGTTAACAGAACAATGCATGGATGCATCTTTTACCTTAAATAACAGCTGGGTGTTAAGAATAGATCTACTGGTGCAGCTTTTCTAGACATCAAATTACTTTTGCACATCAAACTGCTGTTAAAGGTACAGTGACAGTCAGATGAGAAGCACATCCCTAGACAAATCCAAGGACAAGCTTTTACAACGTGTGCCTAAAATATCACTCAGAAAGAAGGATTGTCTTTATAGGATTAACGGAGGGGATCTAAAGATCCCTAAAGTACGTTCTCTGGTCACTAAGATTTCAGGCATCACCATAACAGCTAGAAAAAGGAAGAAGCAACTGGACGAAACATCATAGGAATATAAGAGGAGATTAGGATTTTGGGAAAGTCACACAAAGGAGTCAGCTGCCCATTGGACAGAATTGCTGCTTACCCATATGTATAGCCTGGGGGCAGTGGATAAGGAATATGGTATCGGGGCATCAGGAAAAAGGTGCGAACTAAGTGCCAGGCGCTGCAGGCAGACATGAAGAAGAACATGGCTTGCAGGGAGAAGCCTTGCTCATACAGGAGCTGAGGACAAACAAGGCATTCCAAGATAAGCTGGCTGTATTTTAACGCTCCTACCGTGTGTGCACCAATCCCTGAATTCCTGTAGAAACGTAGCAAGGAAGATGGAAAGACTTCAGAGTTCCTCCTTTCCACTTGCTCTATCCTGATCATTAGCAGGTCCTTCTCAGCAGAGGCAAGTAGCTTCTGAAAGGGTTGGGCAATTTTTTTGGTACCACCATAGAACATTTTTAAAGGGCCCATCGCCACAGTGAGAGGGGCAAGGGTGCAAGCAGAGCAAAGCTAGGTCACTGATGTGAATGATGATGATGAGATTTTGTGTTTCCCTGGTTGGTTTGAGAGTTGTTTTTTTACACGCTTCCTAATTCAAAAGGGGAGAAAATGGCTGCTGAGCCCAAGGAAAAAAGTACAGTTTCTTTAAGGAGATAGGTGCAGTGTATCCCCACTTCCAGAGTGGTATACAATTTTGGTTTCAGATATAAAGTGCAGTACACTAAATCCTAGGCCTAGGTTTATAACACTAAAATTCACACGACATGTTATACCCAAACAAATACACCAATGGTCTGCTTTCTACAGCAGGCTAAGACAGTATCTGGGTGACTACAATAAATTGCATCCTAAACCTCCTCTAGATGCTGGATGAACCTGGCCATCAGAGCGGGGATGATGGGGGCTATAGTCAATGCAACATGTCACATAGTACAGTTACTTTAGGTTTTTCAGCCTTAGTTATTCATTCTGTTGGGAATTGCCCAGAAACTGCAGTTCTCCTCTACAAGCAAAGTTCAGGCACAAAAGAGCTTTAGAAAGCTGAGTCATGAATTACAAGAAGCAACAGGACAAAGAGTCCTCTCTCTCACTTCTAGCGCTACTTCCTGCTGAAATCAGGCTCACTCTGCTTTCAACAGCAAGCCTCTCCTGCTCCTCCTGAGATCTACATGGAGACCAAGGACCAGACTTTACAAACACTTTATGGCAGGCAACTACCTCCCTCTTTCCCACCCTCCATGTCTGAAATGCAAGGCACTCTCCCACAAATGGAAGGAAGGAGAGGAGGCTTTTCTTCCTGATGTCCACCTACTCAACCCAAAAGGAAAATAAACATATAGGTATATATTTGTTATTTTATTTGTAACCCACGTTTCCTTCAGGAGCTCAAGGTGGTATACATAGCATCCCCTTCTCCTATTTTCCTCTGCAACAACCCCATGAACTAGGTTGATCTGAGAGTCAGTCGTGCAGAGCTTCTGTAGCTGATCTATCAATCCCTATCCCCAAACAAATGCAAAAGGGAAAGGGATGCAGAGCTTCTTTCCCTGATAAGCTTTTGCTCAAAGTTAGAGTTCCATAAGATTGATTTTCACTGAAGAAGAACCAGTACCAATCCTTGAAAGAAGGATGAAACAGGCAACGGTCTCATTTTGGCTGTAACCTCTGCTCTGCCCCAAGTGGACTAACTTAATCCACAGGAGTGACTTTGGTATATCATTTTTGGTATATCAATTGGCTGTTAACAGCATTAACAGGTGAAAATGTCCCAGATTCATGGTCAAATGCAAATGGTGGCCTTTCTCTAATGCCCACTAGCAAAGGAGCTGTATACATGCAACGAAGGCTCTTGAGTATGCATGGGCTAATCTATGTAGAAATGCACGCTATTTCCAAATCAGCTCGCACATGTCCTTTAATGAGAAAATAGATCCGCTGGAGGCAAGAAGGAAAAGTATTACCTCTAGTCTTAGTTTTAAGCATATAAATCCAGATAAAATATCTCTGAGGGTTAAACCAATTATCTATTTATGCTAGTTTATTTCCCCCACCCTGATCTTGCTTATCTACTCTCTTATGGTCCTCCATAACATGCCTGTGCTCTCTTTATATCTTAGCCCTCCTAAAGTTGCAGCCTGGCTTGCATGGGGCAGGCTGTTTCTTTGAATATCTAAACAAGTTATCGTTAGTCATTAATTCATTCAGTGTTGATAATTTAGATGGCTCTAAGGTCATGTTTTAGTGCTACAGATAAGGACAATGAGGTAATTCTGTGGCATCCGGCACCTACCAAAAGCAGCAACGAGACAGTAAAGTCCAAACATAGAAGTGGCAGCCTTTTTAAAATTAAATTGATATGGGAGGCAAAAAAAAAAAAAGACTTTCTCACCAACCTTGATGATAAGAAATACAGCTGAGGAAGAATCAAAGGCTCCATTGTAGAGGGTAATGATGATGGACCGATGTTTTCCAAACAGGTTCCCAACCTGGAGAAATAAATTAAAAGGACTAATCCCCTTTTGTGGCAGCAGGACATAGTACATGAACTACTCTGGCTAGAATATAAAAAGTTAGATTCTATGGAAGAATAAGCAATTTGTGAAATAGATTTCTTCCATGCCTGTGGCCACTTTTCTTGAAATTTCAACTCCAGACTAGCCTGATACATTCTGAAAATTGTAGGAAAATGACATCATGGTTCTCTTTTCCCAGCTGGATTTGAATATCCCCAAAAGAGGAAATAAAGATATCTCTGGGATCTCCCCATACCCAAAAGTTGTCATGGTTAGACTTATATCTGCCCCCGCCCTGCCACAAAGTTTTTTTTGGACAGTTTCCTTTCCCAGCATCCCACCCCAGTAGGATGCACAAGGGAAGAAATTCAAACCTGCATATTTGTGAGAATGAAAAGGATCCCACCAACAGAAATAAATGTCATTGCTGGATACAACATTACTGCAGTGGCTGGAAAGAAGAAAAATCATTGTATTATCATGCTCATAACCAAGACATAGACAAACTATCATTCAAACTACTTTTTTTCCATCTTCCATATTCATTCACAGACTAGAACTAGATAATCAGTCTCACTAGTCACGCAGGGGTCGCCAACCTTTTGGACCTCAGGGACCACCAAACTCATAATTTTAAATCCCGCAGACCAGAGACCCTGGGAAAATCCCCCAAAAAGTCTGCAGGAAAATCCCCCACCCTGTTTTCCTACCGATCGATCATTCTTTATTTGGGATCGTAGGATCCTGTCTCCAGCTCCATTCTCAGGGGTGGGGAGAGAGAGAGAAAGACTTTTGGCTTCATGCAAGGAAAGCAGCAGAAGCAGCAGAAGTTTTTCTTTCTCTCCCCCAAATTCCACCAGAAATGAGTGTTTGTGAGACTTGTCGCACCAGCGCAGCCTCTTGGAGCAGGATGCCTTGCAGGGTCCCAAAGACTCATTTCTGGCAGAGTTTGGGAGAGAGAGAGAAAGACTTTTGCTGCTTTCCTTATGTGCAGCCAAAAGCAGAAGAAGAAAGAAGTGGAAAGAAGCATCCTGGTGGCCAGGTGAGGTGCGTGGGGTGAGTGGAGCAAGTTCCCCCCTCCGCTCTTTCCCCTCTCCCTTTACTACCTCATGTTGTTCACAATGCAAGCAATGCAAGCCTTGTGTTCTCGCGGGCCATGTGGGCGACGCAGCCTTGTGTTCCCATGTAGCCTGGATTAATTGCTTTGGGGGTGACATTTCTCTGTGGGCCACCAAAATTTTCTCGGGGACCACTGCACTAGTGCATGAAAAGCCATTCATATATTGCCCATTCAACCATCCTGACCTACTAGTTCCCAATGTGCATAGTATGGAGCATAGCAAACTGTAGCAATAGTTATTTTATAAAAGTTCTGGAGACTGAGAAATTAGTCATGAAAAGCATGAGCCCACGGCCTTTGCTCTGCCTTTGTCTTTTGATAAATATTAGCAAAAAATATCATGTGCAGATGTGCATGAGCAGAGGGGAGCTAGACAATGGACATGATTTTTGGGGAGAGCTGGCGCCAGTTCAAGCATCTCAACCAAAATACATACAGTAGAATTATTTCTCAAGAGAGGCACACATCCAGTCAGACACCTTGTAGCCTTTCAAGATAAATGTATAAATGTACATTAAGATAAACCTCAGAGAATAGCACAATGAATAGCTAGGATCCTTCACATCTAACTAGTTGTCAAGCTTTGAACAGTCAAAGGATAGCCATTATACCACATTTAGCTAACAGAGGTTAGTTTAAACATTGCATTGAGAACCAGTTACCAAGGCGTTCTATGTACCCTTAACCCTATGGTCCACTATCAATAGTTGGACCCCCTAAATTGCCTTCAATAAGATCAATTAATAGAATAAGGAGAACAAGGATCTTGGTTTTTTTTAGTAGTAGCATTAAAGAAAAATTTAAAAAACAACAACAGTTGCTACCTTTATATGAAAGAAAACCTGGCAGTACAGTATTTCCTTTTCTATATAACTTTTTAGATATAAGGTTGTTTATATCTGACAGTCTTAATTTGAACTTAATTTGATCTGGCAGTCTTAATTTGAAATCGGTAAAATTTATCTGAGTTTCCCAAATTGTTTCCCAGATTTAGAACCATTCATTTAGCAATCTTTCAAAGTTGCGACACCAATGGAAAAAAAAACTTATTACCAGTTCTCGCACTTTACACCAGTCCCTGCAGTCACATGATCAGAATTCGGACCCTTGGCAACTGGCATGGATTTATGATGGTTACAATGTTCCAGGATCGTGTGAATGCCATTTGGGCCATACCCAGCTGGCTTCCGATAGGCAAAGTTAGTGGGAGAAGCCGGATTTGCTTTATGATTGCATCCTTCACTTAACAAATCAGTAATTTGCTTAATAACCATGTCAAAAAAAGGTCATAAAATTGGGTGCAACTTAACTCTCTCATTTAGCAGTGAAAGTTTTGGTCACAATTGTGATAGTAATTCAAGGACGGATTGCACTGTTGTTACATTCCTAAGTCAGAGCTTGCTACACATGATGGGGGGGAGTCTGTGTGTGTGTGTGTGTGTGTGTGTGTGTGTGTGTGTTCAAGTCTACCAGGCCAATAGCAAGTTCTTTACTCATATCAAGGCACATCCATATATTCTTGAAAACCACATTTCCTTATGCTGCCAAAAGGAAACAAACTGCAGAGAACTGTCCCCATCTCTCCAACATCTCCCAATGATTCATCGCCAGTATTCATCTTCCTTTCTTTAGTATTTTCTACATACCGACATATGTTTAGTGAGCTCAAGTGGGCTCTTCATTCAGAAGCACTCACCTGCTGAAGAAAATGCAACAAGGAGAGTACCCATGGTGTAGGAGGATCTGGAAAACAAAAGGAGAGCCAGAGCTGTGAGTGTATAAGAGGTTGTGGCATATTTTCATTTCATCTCCACCAGACACTGTGGCTTCTCCAGCTTTCCAGCTTTAACCTAGAGAAGTAGGTCAGTAGATAGGTAGGCAATTGTGGCAAGTATGGGCATTGTTAGAAGACAGAAGGTCAACTGGTCACTCAGATGTATCGGTAAAATAAAATTTTGAATCGAGGATATTTGGAAATACTCAGGGAGAATGAAAGAAAGGATGCTAACTGAGAAAGAGAATATAAGACTGAAATTATAAGATGGGAGAAGTGAGCAAGAAGGTACATTTTGGGAGCTAAATTCTAAATTAGTAATGTATCATGTGACCAGTACAAGCTATCGTGAAGTTTCACATGAAGTAGGTTTTGAAACTCTTCACAAAACAACATCCACTCTATACTTCTGAAAGCGAAGCAAAGCAGTTGCTCCTTCGCTGCTGAGGCTGCCTCTGGCAGTTTCAACAGAGCCTCTTCTGATGCTTCCAGTCAGCTCCTGGATATGCCAGCAGGAGCCTCTCTGCCTGCCCACCGCAAGAAGCCTCGTCTGCCTAGCAGAACTTTAGGATGGGGGATTTGAGGTAATGCAAAGCACAAAGCCCCGCTGGAGATGCTCTGCGCCAGTAACATGTCAGCTAAAGCCTGATCAGCATGAAATCAGATCTTCTGAAACTCCAAGCAACAGGAAGAAGAGCCAACCAGCTTACTAATCTTCTCTAAGACTGACAGACATTTGTTCCAAAACATCCCAGCCAATACATTGGTGGGCTGGAGGATAAATATAGAGTGGAGCTCCTGATTGAACTTCAGCTGCTTGTCCATTGGTCCCCCCCCACTTTTTTTCCCCTGGACAGAGATATATCTGCCTTGTAAGACTGAAAACTGGTGGGAAAAGGAAACTGGTCAAACTTGTATTAAATTCACTCCAGGTGCCAAATATCCCAATCAATAAGTGTTGCAAGGTGACTCCTGTCACAAGTGATTGCAGCGCCTATGAATATCCCATAAAGTGTGCAAAATAACACTATCTCACAGCAATTACATGGGATTTGCCACAATAGGATGTCACAGGCAGAGACAAGGAAGTGACATTAGCTCTTGTATAACCCACTCATGCCACTTGAACTTCTTCACGTATCCAGAACTACACCAGTGCCTCACCCATGTAGGAACTGGCAGACCGGAGTTCTAAACCAAAAAATGTTTTCAGGTATATAAGGAGTCCATAAAAGCTTAAGATGCACTTTGCAGGAATTTATGTAGGAAAGTTCCTTCTCGGTGGGAGCAGGCAGTCCAAGATTAATCACCCATGAAAGGCAGGTACCAGGGATTGGAGGAGAGACAGCGTGGCTGGCTTGCAACAGCACACACTAGTCAACTTATGTGCTGGAAATGTATTTGTGCCAGGAGAATTTGGAAAACACTTTTTCCAATAAGCAAAAAAAAAAAGGGAAGCCAAACAGAGGCTGCATTTATGATGGGCAAAGGCTAGGGCTGAGGACAGCATTATGCATTCATGTTCTCAACAGATGGTTGGTGAGTCATCTTCAGACCAACACAAGAAGTACATAGGAGCTCTTTCACACAAACTTCATCGTGCAAGTTAAATATCACTTTGTATGAAGACATGATAAAAGACCAAAAGTGTCAGCTATCGAGATTGATTCATAGGAAGTCTCTAGAGGAGGGGTATCAAACTCGATTTCATTGAAGGCCGCATCAGGGTTGTGTTTGACGTCGGGGGGCTGGGGTGGGCGTGGCTCGGGTAGGTATGGCCAACTCGACATCGCTCGTGTTGGGGTGCCCACGGTGGCCCGAGTGCTCTGCCATCAAAAATGGTTCCCGCGTTCCATTTTTGGCTGCAACAGCCTCCTGCAACCCTCTGCCAGTGAAAACGGAGCTCAGGAGGGCCGCCCACGGTCCTTCACTGTTTCCAGGGCAGCCCCGTGGGCCAGGTCTAAGCACCCTGTGGGCTGGATCCAAGGCCCTCGGGTCTTGAGTTTGATACCCCTGCTCTAGAGTGTTTTACCTTTTGCTCCCCTAATTAAGAAGAAAATCCTGTTTCTGAAACTGCTATTTGCATTGAGTGGAGCTTGCTTATTGTTACCACTAGATGGATTTCTTCACAAAGTAATGAATTTCTTGGGTCATACCAGGAAAGGAAAGAGTTAAATCCTCTCCACCAGCCCTTGCTGTCATCCAAATAACTAATCTGCCATCCCAGCTCTAGCTATAAAAACTGCAGGGGAAAGTAAAAACTGTAGTCAATCATATACATTTTACCCATAACCTTTTTAAAAAATTGTTGAGAACCTTTCAACTGACTAGTTCATGTTCATGTCAACAGTTTAGTGTCATTCCTATTATAATACAACTTAGTAATTAAATTTTGAGAAAAAATACCTAAGTGAAATAGTTATTTTTCACTTAATAATATCACATCTTCAAACGGTGAGTCACATCTGACCACTAAGAAAGACAGAGATGAATTTCAATTCTCGAATGCTTTTGCAGCAAGAAACAAAAATAACCATCTTAGCTAATTTCAGATATTCTTGGTATTGCATCATTCTACAGTGTTGCCACATTGAGAATGTTTCCTGCAGTTACCCAATGAAGTTAAGTGGTTATGAGAGGTGAAATTATTCATTTATTTCTGCAATATTTACTGAAACCACAATAAGTATGCAAATAGTTTTAGACATGAGAGGAAATGCCTGGATTGAACACAATCATTTCTTGTACAAACAGCAGATTCAAGGAAAATTGAGCAATCCAGTAAATGGCTGGGGAAATGAAGAAGTGATTTTACCTCTCTTTCTCTCTCCTACTCTCTCTCCATTGGAGCTATAGTATGGAGGGAAAGAGTTAAACAGTGACTTGAAAACATGCCTCTGAAGACAATATTCTCATTGAGAACTTGAAAAAGCCACTTGCTTGGCTCTCTGACCTTTTCTGGAGCCCCTATTTTTAGGTTGCTAATAATAATGAAAGGCACGGCTCGCCAGATCGCTATGAAGATGAGTCAAAGACACTTTATATTTCAGAATATAACTCAGAAAAAGCAGCAGCACACAGAAGCAAGCACCTCTGCATTCATCCAGGGAAGTTGGACTCAGGGGATATATGGAATCCAATGAGCCTGATTATTACAATTAGCAGCATCGGATGCAATAGCTGGGGATGAGGAAACCTCTCACTTTTCTCACAATTTTGAGACCTCTTCCACACTGAAGCTGTTTCCAAACATCTGCTCTACAGAAAGCCTACAGAATTTGCCATTCTAATCCCAATTCATTTCAACAGGCTAGTATAATGTCCCTTCTTAAACTAATGATTTAGTCTTTCTCGCTATAAAAGGTGGCTATAAACATCAGTGGGCTGCGTTAGGCCTGGGGAGGGTGCACCACTGACCACAGATCTCATTGGGCTTCGATGAACTTATGTGAAAAGCAGCTGCCCTGAATTCCATACTTCCTTCTTTGGACTCTGCTATGCAACCCCTTGTTTGACTCTTCCACAGCACATCTTTGCCCCATAAGTAATTCCAAAGGAAAGATTGTCCTCCCAGCTTCCTACAGACCGAGATGGATCGTTTGAACATCAGCAATGGAGTCAAATGTACCCAAAGATTTCTTCACCCATCTTCCTTTTCTCAAAAGCTTTTAGCACAATCTTTACATCCCCAGTTGTCTACCGTAACAAAGTGGATGTATTCAGACTGCATGCATTTGATGGAACTCGGTGGTTCCTGCCTCCCCCCTTCGGGCTTCTCTCCCAGCCTTGATTTTGCTGGCTTAGAGGCAACGTTGTCTTTAATTCTACCCCGTAAGAAACCTGAAGAGAGCTTTGCCTACCAGTGACTGAGCACCTTCCTCAGCCTGGCCAAACTTGGTGTTTGGCACCATTCCGTTCTGCTTGGGAGGGCTTCTAAGGGCATTAAAGGGTAATTTTTAAAAGGGTAATACTGGAGAGTTTCCACTTTAAAAGTATCGGTCTCATGTCTCTAACATGAGTTTTGCTAATTTTGGCACCATACAAGGATCCACTGTAACCTTTTCCATTTCATATGCTGCTCCCGCCCCCAGCTGCTTTCTGCATCTTTCATTCACTGGCAATGAAGCAGTTTGACTTGACTCACAGATGCTTTGCTAATAATGCTGGGTGGCTACAAAGGCTGCCTCTTTCAGAGAGAAACTAAACTTCTCCCATCTAACTCTGCTACCATACCTCTTTCAAGCTTTTGGCACCAGCTCCCAGAAAGTAAAGTAAAACATACTCTTTACATTGTCATGGGTGATTGCTTCCTGACTAGAATTAATTGTGTTTTCAAACTGCCTTTGTATAGTTAATTCGTATAGCCTGGCCTACTGTTCTATACAAGTGAGCCAGTCAAAGCAAGCCACTTCTCAACCATGCTTATTTTTAACAGAAAATGCACTTATATTAGATGCATATATTAGATGCTCCCATTGAAATCAAAGGGGTAACATTTGGCTGATAGAGCTACTTATAGGATCAAATAGTAGCTTACAAACAGCTATTTTTTGCAGGAAATAATTGTTGGTCCAAAATTCACAACGTTTCCTCATTTGCTTTGTTTCTCGGTCATAGGCATGAAATGCCCTCCCTTGGCAAAACTGGACTAGCATGTTTTACCTTTGAAATGATTCTTATTCTAAAAGGCTTTTAGTGATACTTTAAATGTGAGGCAAGGTTTTGTATTGTTTTGCTCAGGTCCCACCCTCCACTGGCATGCAGACCCATGAAATGGGTCATGAAATGGTGTGGACCTTGGAAGTCTATCTCACCATGCTTTGTATGTGCATCTGAGTATTTCCAAAAGACTTGCCCAGCTCTGGGAAATTGGCTATGTGCCCTGCTACAGCCGTGAAGGAAGTGGGGGGGGGAGAAATAGCCTCTTCAGCATTGCCCTACTGCATGTGGTTAATCAGTCCATTCACATGAGGTGCATAACTTCGCCCTCTCCATTAATATTTGCAGTCAATTAAGGAACTTAAAGTGCAGCCACAGCACATTTCAGCTTCCTGGATTGTAGTCACACAGGAACTCTTGGACTTCAAGCTGCATAAAGCTGAGATGAGGTTTGGCACCACTGAAAGCCTCTCAGAGACAAGACGCTTTGTAGATACAAATCAACATCGCTCAAAGATCTGGACTCTTACCACCTCACAATGGGAGCAGTCTTCTAATCTACACTACAACTCCTAATCGATCATAAACACAGGTTGTTAACAGACAACAGGATCAGGTTCCCACCTACTGACTACCTCTCCCAGTCAGTCCTGTCATCAACAGTCTTTATTTAATGCATACTAAAACTAGCTGAGAAAATGGGGAGTCATATTTTTGTGGCAGTGAATTTCCATTTGGTTTGACACTAATAGATAGAGAGGAATTAGCTGAAGAAATGGAATTAGTAGGTGCATGGGGGAAATTTTGTACTCTTGGAGTTCTTGACTTTTGAAGGAAATTTAACTGTCGAATCAAACCTCTATCTTGAATTTCAAAAAAAGATTGATTTGAATAAACTCAAAGCCATAAGAAATAGGATACCACAGCATGAAAACTACTTAAAAAGTTGTTCAGGATAAATAGAAATTCCTAAAAGATAACTAAAAATAAATAGGTAATTGTAATAAAGGGGGGAAATGAAAGAAGAAATCAGTGTAGCTACCCAGCACAGTTTAGTGAAAATCTAAACATAAAAAAGATTGACATAGAAAATGGAAAAAGGATAGGTCACACAGGCAGTAGGCAGGAACAGCAGAGCTGATATCATGAAAGAAATAATAATAATAATAATAATAATAATAATAATAATAATAATAATAATAATAATAATAATAATAATAATAATAATAATA